TTTTTTTTCAAAAAAACAAACAAACATTATTATTTTTGTAATGTGATATTCAATATTGTTTGTTTGTTAGTTTTCTCTTTAACCGGTATATATATCATTGGATTAAATAATAGTAAATCAGTAATGATACACACCCAAAGTTTAGTTCATAATTGAAAAAAAAATTAAACAATCAAATATCTACCAGTTCAGTGTTTCCAAGTTTTCCATGGTGGTCTAGCTTCAATTGATTCATGCTTACAACTATAAATCAAATATTTGTCAATCATTGTATATAACTTACAATTTGTTAAATTATGGTGTATTTATACAAGTGAAATGTAATGCAATATAGTTTATAGAACTTTATGAAATTATAAAAAGGTTGTTTGATCATCAAAGGTTAAAAGCTTATTAAATTGTATTTATTTTTGTACATTTACTTATCAGTTTACTGAAGGTAATTCAATTCTGTTGATTTACCATTACATAATATGTTTTTAGTAGTTTAAATGTGACTAGAAGGAAAATTTATAACGAATTTTATTCAACGGTTTGTTGAACGAATCAAGAATGACTGACATGGAGAAGATATTCTAAAAGTTGAATTTATGAGTTGGCTTAAGCTAGATTACCAGTGAAAACCTCGAATTACTGGACGGAGGTTTCATGCTAGTATGGGACTCATCAGAAGTGCGCTTAACCTATAAACTACTGAGCTAGCATAAAAGTTAATGTCTTATTTCATATAATACACCACAGCTGATCCTATATAGTATTGATAGGTTGTTGGTTGTTCACAATCGGTGTAAAATGTTTTTATGTATAGCTAGAAAGGTGTCACTTGATTTTTCATGAATATCTCTTTCTAATTATTATTATTATTATTATTATTATTATTATTATTATTATTATTAATGGCTTTATTCAATATTATAATCTGGTACAATATAGAATTCTCAGCACGAGTTATTTCAACAAGTTTTTTACCAAAAAAGAAAACCCGAAAAAACAAACAAACAAAAAAAACAGAAATAAAATTTAAAAAAAAAGGTCTAGGAAAAACCGACTTTATACAAATTATCGAATTTGAGACATGCTTAAGAAGACAGGTTATTTACTAGGTCAACTCTAACAGCCTGTTCGTCACAAAGTAAATTTGCTAAGTAAGGTATTACAGAACTTTTATAGATTTGCTTGCGTGCATGGATTTTAATGTATTTACGTCTCGTTCTACCAGAAGATATACAAGGAGAAAGATATGAATGAAGCGGATGGTTAGTATCTGATAAGATAACACCTGCCAAGAGTTTGCAAGCCTTAAGATGTCTATCCACAAGCATATTAACAATGACTTCAAAAGATTCACCACATACCTTGCAAACCGCCTTCAGCATTCTACGCAAAATAGCAAAGTCTTTTCTCAAAAGCCCAGGAAAGAATAATGGAGAACAATATAAAATAATAGGTAATATGCAGGAATTTACAAATTGTAAGAGTAAATGGCGAGTAATCCCAAAAGCATGCAGCCTCTTTATGTAGTATATCAAGCGGTAAACTTTTTTCGATAATAGTAAAACATGAGAAGACCAAGAAAGATCAGAGGAAAAAGTAACACCAAGATATTTGACCCTCGACACTGTGTTTATTAAGGAGTCTCCAATGGCACAAGCATTATGGGATCCCAACATAGAGTATAGGTTCTGTCCATGTCTCAAGCTAAAATTAACAGCTTGACATTTAGATGGATTGAGTAAGAGACCATTACCAACAGACCACCTTTCAATACGAGATAAAAACTCATTCATTTCTATAGGATGTAAGGAGGTAGAAATTGGCATACATACGGTGAGGTCGTCCGCATATTTTACAAAAGTGTTTTCTGTGGAAGATGGCAGATCATGCAAAAAGAAAGAGAAGAGCAGAGGTGAAAGAACAGATCCTTGTGGCACACCTACAGTAGACAGTAGAGATGTTGAACACTTTCTTTCAAATACAGTGTACTGTTCTCTTCCAGAAAGGTAGGAGCGTAGCCAATTGGTTATCCAGCTGTCAGTGTCGATGCGAATCAGCTTGTTAAGTAAGAGGTGTCTTGGAATAGAATCAAAAGCAGAAGTAAAGTCCAGAAAAGCGCATCTAACATACTTCTTACCCTTTTCCAACCCGAACACTATATTGTGATGCAGAACAGCAACGGCATCTAATGTGCTTCTTTTGCATTTGTAAGCAAACTGAAATGGATCACAGTACTCTTTTATTGAAGGTTGAAGTGGTTGTATCAGTAATTTTTCCATTATTTTGAGGAAAGGTGAGGTTATTGCAATGGGTCTAAGTTTCGCATTTTTATCACCAGAAGCTTTCTTAGGTATAGGGATTATCTTTATCTTTCTCCACATTTTCGGTAAGACATTAGTTGAGAAGGATCTGTTAAAGATATTTGTTAATGGATAACATAAAACATCGGCACATTTTTTAAAAAGGAGGTTTGGGATACCATCAGGTCCTAAACATTGGGATGAATTCAGAGACTGGAGACATTTCCGGACATCATTTTCAGTAAAACTGGGGACACAACTATTCTTCAAACCTTTGGATATAGGGAGCATGATGTCAGATGACTGATGAATAAAGGACTTATTTAAGTCACAAACATTTAGCTGGTTATCGCTTCTAGTCTGCCTGTCCCCTGTAATTTCTTTAAAGAGTTTCCACATACTTGGAGAGCTTCTACAAGATAGGAGTTTTTGAGTGAACACACAGTTGAGACGTCTAATCTCTTGGTTTATTTGATCATTTAACTTACGAACTTCAATAGTGTTTTTCTCCTTGTACATCCTTTCTTTTACCCTCCGTAGTCGTTTTAGTTGTGGAGATGTAAGTCGATCAAAACTTAAAAAGAAGGTTTCGGTAGGACAGCAAATATCAAAACAGAATTTAAGATAAGAGGTGATGACATCCGTTGTGTTTTCTATTGAGTCATCTGTAAGTACTTCCCAGTTGGTCGTACGAAACATGTTTTTCAGATTTTGTAAATTTTCTTCTGAGTAACTCCTATATATTACTTTTTTGGTATGGAGTATGTGTGTACTCTTTCCATGTTTACCATATACTTTAGGCAGGACACGAATTATACAGTGATCCGAACTAGACAATGGAGCAAGTTTGCGAGTCACATAGGCACCCACATCATTAATGAAAACCAAGTCTAGATGAGCATTCAAACGAGTAGGAAAATCTACTACATTTAGGTGACCTAGTGATGTAAGGAAGCTACAGTCACATGAATTGAAATCACCACATACAATTGAAAGTGAATCACTGAAGGCAGTAACGGCGAATTCAGTAAATTTATCAGTGAAGACAGATAGCGCAGATGATGTGCAGTCTGGAGTCATGTAGATATTGGTAACATAAATATATTTGTATTTATTCAGGTGTTTTGGACGGCACCTTAAAGTTAGACAGTCAATAAAGTCGTTTGAAAACTTGAAACAGGCAAAAGTAGATCGACACCAGTTAACGTTTACAAAAGTAGCTACTCCGCCACCACAAGTCTTTTTATTGTTTGATCGATCCTGACGATAGATATTAAAATCACGTAATGACACTAAGCAATCATCCTGTAAGTCAGTTAACCAAGATTCTTGAATTGTGATGACACCACAATTACGATACATGTTTTGACTTAGCAGAAATTGGAGATAGTCCACCTTGTTAATTAGTGATCGACAGTTAGAGTTAAGTAGCTCGGGAATCGACATTTGATTGATGTTTATTCTCTTTAAAGCATATTGCCAACCACCACGATGTCTCTTATTGTGCTTGTTTGTAATTTTTGCAGCGAAAGGACGTAAGCTTTTTATAAACGCGCCTGTGTAGGTTATGCGATTAACAGACATAATGATAGGTTAAAACAAATTAAAAAAAACCCAGATAACTTGTTGAAATATTTAGATGGTAGAAACAGGTAGCCCAGGTATTCAAGCAGGCCGCCTAATAATCGCCTTGACAGTGCAACATTAGTATACTGTCTAAAAGGAGGATTGAACATAGCCTCTTTTTCAAGAGACATAACCATTATTAGTCTAGAATACATGCAGTGTTATTCAAGTATTATTGTTATACCAAAAGTTTGCTATTTAGTATTTTTATCAACCCTAACGAGTTGGTGTTTGAAGAAATCTCGGCAGAGATTTGGAAAGCTCGCCCAACGTTTGCCAATATGAACCATTCGTAGAATAAATAAGATTTTTCTGTGACAATCATACTTTATTTCTTAAATACATGAAATTTAAAAATGGATGATATCCGCAGATTGTTAGTATTTGATCATTGGTGCTATCTTACACTAGGTAAATATAAGGAAATCGACTCATGAGGTCGTGAATTCACAACGGCTTAGGTCGTTTCGTCATGTGTAACAAATTCTCAGCCATCGACGACTTTCATGTGTTCTGTTGGCTGGAGTTTCAGTAGGTTGGATGTAAACTAAGGGCAGTTAACCCAAGAGCTGTTTTCTGTCCATGAACTTATTAACTATTAGGCTGAGCTGTGAGGTAAGTCATAAACAATTTGGTTTGAGCTTGTGTTGTGTCAAGTTTCGGAATCAGGTTCAATGGCTCAAATGCATTCAATCTTCATCTTCCATGAGATTTTAAGTGTTAAAAGTATTCGATTTCACGTGTTCATGTTTTTTTCTCAAATCATGCTGTCCATATCTGATCTTTTCTGCTATAACTGATTTTATTACTAATTCTACTATTTTAGGATCTAGCTGTGCTATGATGTGTCATGAGTGTAAGTTCTATTTTACGTTTTTCTGACTGACTGCTAGCTGTACACCAAGCATAGTAACATTTACGGCAAAAAATTATCTCGATGTAGTCGACCAAGGGTGCAAATACAGTAACCTATTGTAAATCAATGGGTTAAGAAACTTTCGCTTATCAACTTATGTTACTGTAATCATATTGAGTAGTTGCATTGTTATGTAAAAATATTTATGACATCCTGTAACTTACTTGAACTGAAAGTCGTGCATCACCCATACGTGGTCCATGATCAGAGAATAATACTACCAATGTGTTCGCAAATGGATAACTTGAGCTTCTTGATGCCTTCATATTTCCACTATTGAACATCAAATCTTCATAGTAAATACGTTGAATTAATTTCGATAAATCTTCATCTATGAGTTTAGCATATGCTGGATTCTCATGTATTAATTCACTTAAGAATGTTAAACTGAAACGAGGTCTGTCTGAATAGGTTTCGAAAAATTCCGTAAGAGATTCTAAAAGAACTTGATGTGTATATCTGTTAAAAAATGAAATAGGAAGAAGAAGACACTTAGTAGTCGTGATATACATGATAATCCATAAATATATTTAGCCATAAATAACATATTGAAATAGGTAAGCATTAGAATGTAGACATATTTTGATGTTTTACAATCTCCTGGTTTTTATATTTTCTATGAAAATCTAAAGATACGTGTCGGCAATGAATTCCTACAGACTAGAGATGTTCTTTCGACTTCACTATACAATTCCCTGGAAATTAGAATAATATAATACTTAATACAACTCCGCCTGTAGATCCTCAGGGGGTTACTGCCGGTCCCAAGCCCAGGTAAATGAGGATGGTTGGGCATGGGGTTAGCGACCTCATCCCGTAGAAAATCAACTCGCTAAAAAAACGCTAACCAGAAAAAATCATTCAAACCATTCAAACTCTCCTTGGGAGTTGAAGGAATAATTATGACGTCTCATGATGAAAGCCGAGTTCATTCGGAAGTCATGAGGCCGATGCACCTTCTTACAACCAGAGCGACAATTTTTATAGGTACATGGAATGTCTGAACAATGTGGGAGACCGGAAGAGTCTTCCAAATCGCTGCAGAAATGAGAAAATACAACCTGGAGGTGCTTGGAATCAGTGAAACACATTGGACGTAGCTTGGACAACAACGACTGTCTTCAGGAGAACTTCTGTTATACTCCGGTCATGAAGAAGAAAATGTCCCACATACACAAGGAGTTGCATTGATGCTGTCCAGAAAAGCACAAAATGCACTTATTGGGTTGGAATCTCATGGACCAAGGATCATCAAAGCCTCCTTCAAAACAAAGAGAGAGGGCATTACAATGAACGTCATTCAATGCTATGCGCCGACCAACGACTACGATGAAGACGCTAAAGACCAATTGTACGATAGGCTGCAGTCGATCGTCGAGACGTGCCCAACCAAGGACCTGACCATCCTGATGAAAGATCTCAATGCTAAGGTTGGAAAGGACAACACTGGATACGAAGACGTCATGGGACAACATGGACTGGGAGGAAGGAACGAAAATGGTGAGAAATTTGCAAACCTATGTGCCTTCAATAAACTGGTCATAGGTGGTGCCATATTCCCACACAAAAACATACACAAAGTCACTTGAATTTCACCGGATCACACTACACAGAATCAAATCGACCATATCTGCATCAACAAAATGTTCAGGAGGACGATGGAGGATGTGAGAACCAGAAGAGGAGCTGATACAGCATCCGATCATCATTTGCTGGTCGCCAAGATCAAACTAAAACTCAAGAAGCACTGGTCAACGACGCGGACAACATCACAAAAGTTTAATACGGCCTTTCTTCGAGATGCTGACAATCTCAATAAATTCAACATAGCCCTCAGCAACAGGTTCGAGGCCTTTCATGACCTACTCAATGGAGAGAGGACTACCATGGAGAGCAACTGGAAAGGTATCAAGGAGGCAATCGTTTCAACATGTCAAGAGGTTCTGGGCCAGAAGAAGCACCATCACAACGAATGGATCACTGTTGGTACACTGGATAAGATTGAATAAAGGAGGAACAAGAAGTCAGCAATCAATATCAGCCGAACAAGAGCGGAAAAAGCCAAGGCACAAGCCGAATACACAGAGGCAAACAAGCAAGTGAAGAGGAGCATCAGAACCGACAAACGTGAATATGTGGAAGATCTAGCGATGACAGCGGAAAAGGCTGCAAGAGAGGGAAACATGAGACAACTGTATGAAACAACAAAGAAACTTGCTGGAAATTACCATAAGCCAGAAAGACCAGTGATTAGCAAGGAAGGCAAAGTAATCACTAACATTGAAGAACAACGAAACAGGTGGGTAGAACACTTCAAAGAACTCTTGAATCGACCAGCTCCACTGAACCCACCCAACATCGGAGCAGCACCCACAGACCTCCCAATCGATGTTGGCCCACCAACAGTTGAAGAGATCAGCATGGCCATTAGACAAATCAAGAGCGACAAAGCAGCGGGACCAGACAACATCCCGACAGAGGCACTGAAAGCAAATGTAGCAGCAACTGCCAAGATACTCCACATCCTCTTCAGTAAGATTTGGGATGAAGAACAAGTACCAATAGACTGGAAAAAAGGACTTCTGATCAAGATACCAAAGAAAGGCGATCTGAGCAAGTGCGACAACTACAGGGGCATCACTCTTCTCTCAATACCAGGAAAAGTCTTCAACAGAGTATTGTTAAACAGGATGAAGGATTCCGTGGACGCCCAACTTCGAGATCAACAAGCTGGATTTCGTAAAGATAGATCGTGCACAGATGAAATCGCAACTCTACGTATCATCGTGGAACAATCAATCGAATGGAATTCATCACTCTACATCAACTTCATCGACTACGAGAAGGCATTTGATGGCGTGGACAGGACGACACTATGGAGGCTTCTTCGACACTACGGTGTGGCTGTGATGATAGTCAATATCATACGGAATTCCCATGAGAGATAAAACAGCAAAATAGTTCATGGAGGACAACTCACTGACTCATTCAAGGTAAAGACCGATGTTAAGTAAGGTTGCTTACATTCACCCTTTCTCTTTCTCTTGGTCATCGACTGGATCATGAAGACGTCAACATCTGGAGGGAAGCACGGCATACAATGAACAGCTAGGATGCAGCCTAACGATCTAGACTTCACGGATGATCTGGCTCTTATATCACACACACATACTGCAAATGCAGGAGAAGACGACCAGTGTGGCAGCAGCCTCAGCAACAGTAGGTCTCAATATAAACAAAATGAAAAGCAAGACTCTCCGATACAACACAATATGCACCAATCAAATTACACTTGACGGAGAAGCTTTGGAGGATGTGGAAATCTTTACATATCTGGGCAGCATCATTGATGAATACGGTGGATCAGATGCAGATGTGAGGGCGAGGATCGGCAAAGCAAGAGCAGCATACCTACAACTGAAAAGCATCTGGAGCTCAAAACAAATGTCGACCAACACCAAGGTTAGAATTTTCAATACAAATGTCAAGGCAGTTCTACTGTATGGGGCAGAGACGTGGAGAACTATGAAAGCCATCATGCAGAAGATATGGGTGTTTATCAACAGCTGTCTACGCAAAATACTTCGGATCCGATGGCGAGACACTATCAGCAATAAGTTACTGTGGGAGAGAACAAACCAGATTCCAGCAGAGGAAGAAATCAGGAGGAAGCGCTGGAAGTGGATTGGGCACACCTTGAGGAAATCATCTAATTGCGTCACAAGACAAGCCCTCACATGGAATCCTGAAGGTCAACGGAGAAGAGGAAGACCAAAGAACACATTACGCCGAGAAATAGAGACAGACATGAGAAGAATGAACAAGAACTGGATAGAACTAGGAAGGAAAGCCCAGGACAGAGTGGATTGGAGAAAGCTGGTGGGCGGCCTATGCTCCATTGGGAGTAACAGGCGTAAGTAAGTAAGTAAGTAATACTTAATATGCGACTTGCATGTTAATAAATAATGTATCATCAGTAGTCAGCTAAATAGTCGTTTATTTTAACAGTAACTCAAAGAGAGCTTTAAGAAAACTTTTTTTGAACTTTATTTTATTTTCACTCTCACTAAGACATTCGACTTTCAAGATAGATAATGATAAATCATTTTAAATATCAGTAAAAATTAATTTGGTGTTCGGCCTATGCTTCTCTACGAGGGGTAACAGAAGTAAATAAGTAAAAATTAATTTGAACTACCACCAAGTTTGAAGAATCCATTGAGATTTGATCACGACAGAGAGACAAAATATCACTTTTTTGAATTTATTGATTTCTAGAAAGAAGAAAACTATACGATTTTGTCAACCTAACAATCTGGTTCGCAATGACCCAACTCAGGAACTTAAGGTGTAACAGTGAACGCTTAAGCTTTAGATCACTGAGTCACCACTGAATGGTTCACATTTCAAAATTTGATCAATCCCCGATATTGTGCAGTCATCTTTCAATGCCAGTGGATATTTAGAAATATAGAGTGACATTCAGTTGTCCACTAATGGCATTGTAAGACAGTAACACAATATCGGAAATTAATTCTAGTAAGATATGTAAACTATTAGATGTCGTCTCATTAGTCCAAAGGTTAAATGCTCACCTTGAAACCTGAAGGTTTTGAGTCTGATCCCCCACAGGGTCATGAGCTAGTACTTCTGATGAGTCCCATACTAGCACAAAATGCCATCCAATGCTTCCTGGTTCTAAAGATTAATCTTTATAAGGTTATTTTGTGATGTTCACACAGATTTTGACAATCTGCACGAGCTCCCTATACTAAAAGACATTATACTGAGTGTAGATAGTCTACAAATATATGAAAACAGCTACCAACCGAATGAGAAAGCATTAACATCTATTTAGATGGTTATAAGTATCCCTTAAGGCAGATTATTGAATTCAACTATGCATGAAAAATAAGGCTTAGAGTTATATTGGCTACGTAATATAATCAAACTGTCTTGTAACTGCACGAAAGTAATCGCAAAAGGTTTTATTCAAAAAGTATCAAGCTTCGCTTAAAAATAATAGATACCTTCAATAGCATAATCACTGGACACCTCCTGGACTCAAAGCATCAAGTAACTACCATAAAATCTTTCAAACCAATCAGTAAACGACTAAACTTGAATATTCTAAAAGACTGGTTTATGTTTGAAAGTAAAGCTATCAATCTTTCTTTCCATTGGTAGCATCATGTTTCGCAACTTTTCTGAGATTTAACTATTTCGGTATATCCCTTCGTTTATTTATCATTAGCTGTCGTTCACTACGTAACCAACTGTTTCTAGCTCTTTCGTTTCATGCCACTATCAAGGATCTAGAATCTCATTTTGCATATACTACATATTTGACTTTATTTGGATCCTTACTCTTGATGGAGAAACTGTGAAACAACTGTTAACCAATACCAAAGTCACAATCTTCAATACGAATATCAAGATAGCTCTACAGTACTGAGATGAAACGTCGAGAACTACTAAAACCATTATCAAAACTGTACGAGTATTTGTAAAAAATTGTCTACTCAAGATGATCAATGTCCTTTGGTCGGATACAATAATTAACAGTCTACTGTGTGAGAGAACAAACCTTCTTCCAACTGAAGAGGAAATTAGAAAAGAGGCGTTTGAGGTGAATAGGACATACATTACGGAAATCATCAAACTGCATCACGAGGGAAACGCTAAATTTGAATCCTGGAAGGAGACAGAAAACAGGAAGGCTGAAAAACACACTGGGTCGAGAATTAGAATCATACATGGAAAGGATGAATAGGAACTGGAAAAAACCGGAAAGGATTGTCCAGGACAGAATTGGACGGAAAATGCTGTTCAGGGGCTTATGCTCCCCCATGAGGGTTAACATGCGTAAGTAAGTAAATACACATTAAATTTTCGTAAACTCATTTCTATCAGTATTTTCATTTCCTTTTTTTCATTTTGACTACGAAACATTAAAGATGATAAACAATGGAGGCGAAACTAACGTGATAAAATAAATTCATGTTAATGAGAGGAAATCGATATTCTTAGTATTTTCATAGATTGAATATTCATTCAAAAACATATCGTGATGCACGACTAGTTAACAACAGATGGTGACTTGGTGGATAACTTCTATTGACTAAACCATTGATAGCTATATTTTTTAGATTAAATCAGATTGAAATGCTTCACTTTAGTGTGTTTATTCAAAATCTCAACTTTATAAAGTTTAAAGATAACAAGGGTAAAGGAAAAAGCAGGTATTAAATCACAATTTTATAAAAGCTTCATGACAAGACAAAATAAATACTTTCGTTTCATTTATTGATAGATTTCTCTCAGTAACTGTAGTTATTGAAGCCTATTATCACAATGATTGATTACTAAGCTTATAATTCTGGTTTCTGAGATTGACTTGCGTCGAATATACTGGTTTGTGTCATATTTTTCTTGATTTTTATAAAGGACGAAGTTCTAGAGTTCTAAACGAGAACAAGACAGGTATTCTAGTAGACAGGGAGAATCCAGACATATCACATCACTGTGCTCGTATGCATGTTTAAGGTGAAATGGTAGGTGATAAATGTCAAATAAGGTTGAATTCGTTTATGAACTGTGTTAGACTTGATTTAAATATCTAAAGGGTCACGTTCAGTTCAATCAATTAAGAAATTATTTTGTTTACGTATAATCAAGCAACTTTATTTAGTTACATACCCACCCAAGAAAGTTTTTAAAACCAGAGATTTTTGTGAAGTTTGTTAAGCAATGAAGTTTTATTAATATAATATAATAATATTTTATGAAATCTTCAGTTTAATAGTAATAGCAAATCGTTTGTCATCAAATAGTCCTCATCATAACCACCATGGTAAACCTGGAAACACTCGACAGACGTTTCGTCTTAATATTGGACTCAACAGAAGTGCGCATCCACGATCCCACCTCGCGAGATACAAATCCAAATCGAATCCAGGACCTATTGGTCTCTCATGAAAACGCCTAACCTCTAGACCACTGAGCCAGCCAGTGATTTCAGGTTTTCTATGGTGATCTAGCTTCAATGAACTCATGAATTCAATTATTAAATTACTATAATATCCATAAAACCCCTCTCTGAAAATAAAAATTATTTAGTAATAAAACCTATGATTGTAACATACACTCAATAATACATTATGGGTAGTCAGATGAAACTGTTCTCTTTTATTTGAAGTTATTAAATGTTGATATATGATGCAACATATGAAACCAAAATATCAGATAGTTTGAATAAAGTCTTAAGTTAGTCAACATTTAATACAATTGGCAGAGATCGTAGATCAAATGAAAACAATGGTTAAAATGAGTGAGATCTATTCAATTGATTTACAATCTATTGATTCATTGAAAAGTAATGAAAATGCGCCTAGTTTATTAATTAAATTCTTAAATGATTTTAATACGTTTTCAACATGACAATTTGCTACAAAATAATCATACCAAACTAGTCACTAGTACTGATCAAATACCATCATTTAGGTTGTAATATGGTCATTTAATCTATGTATCTTAACAACACGGACAGTATTATCTAATTTTACTTGATTGTTAGCAGTTGATAGGAAAAACAGATTGCAAGTTTGATATAATTTGGCAGACATCATTGAGGTGTATCTACAATTTTAAAGAAAAATAATTTCAAATCACTTAGATCGAGTGAATTATAGCTTAATCAATTGTACTCAATCATTACTATATAACAATAACATGACTGTGTTAAATTCTAAGCCAACAATAAGAACAAATGTCTGTCCTGAAAGATGTTAACTCTCATCAGAATAGTTGAAAGCTAACTTTAGAGCCTTTGATACCGTATGATGCAATGAGCACTACTTTCCTTGCTAACAATCTTTAACGAGCATGTAACCTAGATTCATAATGTTTATTAATCATATTTCTATTGCGACTATAATTTACATTATTTTCTAGAATCCTAGTTAATAAAATTTCTAGTCAACATACTTGAAACTTAAATTTGTTGCTTAGTATTGTCTGTTTTTGGAAAAAAAGTATTTTGATAAACATAATTTAGAATCCATTAAGTTATCAATTTTACAAACAATTAATTTCTAATCAGAAGGTGTTTTGTGTAGATTTCAGTATTTTCATAGTTGAAATCATGAGTTAATTGAAGCTTCCAGGTTTTCCATGGTGGTCTAGCTTCAATTGACTAATGATTTTAGCTATGAAAATATTGGAATCTTAGCAAAACCCCTTCTGATTATAATCAAATGCTCACCAGTGACTGACTTCAAGAGATATGTCCTATAGTTCTAGTGAGAAGCAGTAACCGATGGAGTTCATCCAAGTCTGTTGTAGAGATATCACTTCACTGAAGACAAATGGTGAACGATTGCTCAAACTTCGTGGACTGGTTGAAGTTAGACATTAACACCGTTGGATGCCAGCTTAGTGGTCTAGTGGTTAAGTGCTCTGGCGCAAGACTGGTAGGTCCTGAGTTCGAATCTCATGAGGCGGGACCGTAGATGCGCACTGTTGAGGAGTCCCACAATAGAATGAAACGGCCGTCCAGTGCCTCCAGATTTTGCATGGTGGTCTAGCTTCAACTGACTCATGATTTCAACTATGAAAATTAATTTCTTGACATACTTATAAAATATAATTCAAAGAAATCAAATCAAAATTATTCCACATTTTCGGTAGTATTCACTTGTTTTGTCTTTTTACCTTGACATTGTACATCCAAGAATTTTTCCAGAATAATTTTCTTCTTGACTTGCTGCTATTAAACATGGACGTCCATAACTAGTTGTTGGATTATTCATTGATCCAAAACCACATAATCTATGTTGAAATGTACCCCATTTTGGTGTATCTTCAATATAATGTGTAACATAATTACCATAATCTGAATATTCTTTCCATATCCATGGATAATTATCTAATATTGTATAATTATCCAATTGATTTAATTTTATATTATTTAGATGGGATTTTCTTGATTCAGGTAATTCTGTTTCTAATTGTCCTGTTAATAATCCTAATAAATTCACTGTAGTACCATCACCAATTACATTATATAAATTCATTATAATTGTACTTTCATTAATACTATAAAGAAATTGAATTGTTTTTGTTAAATATCTATAAGCTGATAAACGTGATATAGAATCTATACCTAATAGTAGTATATTATACATTAAATTTTTTTGTTTTCTCTTAGTTACTGGCCAAATAGATTTTTTTTGTTTTTTATTTGTATAATATGAACCACATATAAATAAACGTTCAATTTGATCTAATTTATAATAATAATTCAAATTAATATTAGATTGTATAAGTAATATATTTTGTTTTGGTTGACATATTACCATAAACATTGGCCATAATGATTGATAACCATCATCAATTTGTTCAATAACATTTAAATAGATTGATTGATAATCATTTAAACGTTTTATTGGAAATAATGAACATGTTACTAAGCTAGAATTAAGTCTTATTGTATTATTACTATCATTATGATGATAATGATGAATTGTTAATTTTCCCAAATGAAATGATAAATAATCATGGATACTAATTATATGATTTGATAAATTATATAATTTAAATAAATTAGTTTGTTTACATTTTGGTAAATTGATTTTAGTTTTATTTATATTCTGAAAATGATTTGACCATAAATTCATATATGGTATTGAACATTTATTCATTTGATTATGATGAATTTGTTTAAATTCATTAAATTGAATAAAATTTAATTTTGGCAAAGAATTAAATTTTGTTAATGACCATATATTCATGAATAAAGTATAAATCCCTATAAATAATAAAAATAATAAAATTTTTGTTTTTGTAAAATATTGAAATTGTTTAAATAATCCAAAAAGTTTTTGATACATTTTTGATAGAAAAAAAAATTGAAAATGATGAATAATGAAAATGATAACTGTTATCCCAAAAATTCCTATCAAGCAATAAATAGGAACTAGTGATATAAACTGTAATCTGATTGGTTATTTATAAAAGATCAATAATCAAATTAACATTTTGCTTTTGTCAATGATTGGTTATTCAATGAATGACCTTCAGAAATTATATTTGAAGAGGATAAGATTCAAATGAATAATAACATATTATAATTTAATTCAAATAAAGATGGATTGATTAATGGCTGACTCATAGAGAGATTTGATTCAAACCCATTTATCAGGTTATATATATATAGCGGTCACCATGTTAGACGATGTCTATCTTTATGTTTAAAATTAGGGTTTACTAAAAACAAACGATTATCTGAGTACAGTTGCAACAGACGACCAATATTGTCCGTTAGCTGAGCCGGAATACTAAAATACCCGCCAAGATGCCTTTCCGTTTGGTTTAAGCTACCTTAGTTACTTACTTACACCTGTTACTCGCAATGAAACATACGCCACTTAACAGAATTCTCCAGCACAATTTGTACTCCACCTTTCTTTCTAGTTCTATCCAACTTTTGTTCATTCTTTTCATGCCTGTCTACATTTCTCGGCGTAATATGTTGATCGGTCTTCCTATTCTCCTTTGGACTTTAAGATTTCAAGTGAGGGCTTGCATTGTGAAGCAGTTTCGTGATTTCCTTAATGTGTGTCCTATCCACTTCCAACTCTTTTTGCTGATTTCTTCTTCCACTGGATGGAATCTGTTTTGTTCTCTCCAACAGTAGGTTGTGGCTGATAGTGTCTAACCAACGGATCCGAAGTATTTTGCGTAGACCTGCTTGAGCATTAAAATCACCTGCTACGAGTACTATGTCTCAGCGTTTAGCTTTTTGAAGGAGTTCAGAAAGCTTTCTGTGAAAATCATCTTTCACTTCATCTGGGCTGCAGTCAGTGGGAGCGTAGGCGTAAACGACGTGTGTCCCTATCCTTTCGAGTTCTTACGGAGCCGTTAGCCCTAAAGCATATAGGCCACTGTTAACAGGGATCCATTCTAATAATGTCTATTCTGCCCTCGTACTCAGTGCTATGCCTACACCAACTAGTCCACGAGAACTAACCATCGGGTCGCCGGATACACGGAGGGCGTATCTCGCCGAGTATTTATTTTTGCGAGGGGAGGTCAAATGAATGACCACACCAGGATCATGTATGCTTGTTTCGGAGACACATCATACATCAATGGTATGAGATCCCAAGGTGTTAGCAAAGGAAGTCCATTGGCCGTTTTGACATAGGATACGCATGTTGAAGGCTCAAGTGGGTAGTTTAGAGCGAGGTTTCAGTAGATTTGTGACAATATTTAGCACACTAGAATAGTTGACCATGGTGACACTTGGGGAGGAACACAAAAGAAGAAGTTTAGAGTTGAAAGTCTAGGTAGGAGTAATAATAGGAATTGAAGAAGGAGATTGAGTATGAATACACTAGTCTTGAGTGCTGTTAGAAATATGAGGGCAGTTATCACTTCCCGGTTTAACACACCATGGAAGGGTTCTTATAGAGGTACCTGAAAAGAAACTTGAGTTACAATCGGTCTTAATGACCTGAGAGCGTAAATACAATGCCTAAGGGACATCTGCTTGAGGCCGGCCACATACGACTTTTTTGTGAGTAATTTTTGTGTTAATTCCCTACTTGTTGAGACCTTATTGCTGGAGACGGATCCCCATCGGATAAGGCGACCTTTTCCAACCCCTTTCTTCCTTTTTGGAAGACAGAATCGCTGTTAAGTTAGTTGTCTGAGGAGAACACCTTACTGCCGTCACACCTCTGTACAGCCAGGAGTACTACTTCGCCCTCGAACCTCGGGTTTGCTTATTTCACTCTTACCAGTGCTTTCAGATTTTCCATGGTGATCTAGCTTCAATTGACTCATGATCTCAACTATATTAAATGAAAATAGTTAACTTTTATTAGAAAAACTTAATAACACTCCAATAGTTGGAAAGAAACAAACTAATTTTACCAGACTATATGAACATTCTAAAATATGAAACAAAAAGGAACACTATTAAGACCGAAATCTTGGTATACAGGATCAACCACACTATATTATGACCTAGTCTCAACTTATTAGATTAGCCTGATGAGTTAATTTTTAGAATTCAGTCTATAGAATTTATTTAATTTTATTGATTTAGTGATAAAAAAATAAACAAAACATGATATTATTCTTTTGTATTACATTGTTAGTTACTAAGCTATGTTTCTGATTTATTTGAAAAAGCAATAACTGGATACTGATTTTTGTTTACACTATTTATACCATTCATTTTGTATTGTTTTGTTTGAATCTTCCTATTGATGTTTGTGACTGTAATTGATCAGTCTCTTATTAGCATACATGCATCCTGTGAGGATTGTCTCGATATTGTCTTATGTCACAGGCATTATAAGCATAAATGAATGATGGCGAGCAGTTGAATTCACGACGAAAGTTTCGTCCTAATTGGGGCTCGTCAGTTGGATGTAACTGCATCCCAGAGTTGATGTTCATTCAAGGAATCAAACTCAGTACTGTTAACTTCAAACTCCATCACGTTATGCACTTAGCAATACTATTGTAAACTTCGAAGGTTTAGCTCATCTGTAGCAATTATTTATGCAGTCAACTAAGCAGAATATCAACCAACAAATCATCGAAGAAGGTAACATTATAAGAATTTTTATTGCATAAGTAAAATTAGATTTGGTTCTATGTAGAGTGAAAATCGATGAAGGCAAAATAATCACCAACACTGACGAACAGCGAAACAGGTGGGTAGAACACTTCAAAGAACTCTTAGATCGACCAGCTCAATTGAACCCACTCAGCCCACCAGTAATCGATGAGAGATCAGCATGGCCATCAGAAAAATGAAGAGCGGCAAAGCAGCGGGACCAGACAACATTCCAGCAGAGGCACTGAAAGCGGATGTAGTAGTAACTGCAAATATACTCCATATTCTCTTTAGTAAGATTTGGGATGAAGAACAAGTACCAACAGACTGTAAAGAAGGACTTCTGATCAAGATACCAAAGAAAGGAGATCTTCTCTCAATACCAGAAAAAGTTTTCAACAAAATGTTGCTAAACAGAATAAAGAACTCAAAAGACGTCCAACATAGAGATCAACAAGCTGGATTCCGTAAGGATCGATCGTGTACAGATGAAATCGCAAATCTACAGATCATTGTGCAATAATCAATTGAATGAAATTCATCACTCTACATCAAATTCATCGACTACGAGAAAGCATTTGATAGCGTAGACAGGATACAACTATGAAGGTTTCTTCGACACTACGGTGTGGCTTTGATGATAGTCAATATCATACGGAATTCCTATGAGAGATTAATTTGCGAAATAGTTCATGGAGGGCAACTCACTGACTCATCTAAGGCACGACCGATGTTAGGTAAGGTTGCCTACATTCACCCTTTCTATTTCTCCTGGTGATCGGCTGAATCATGAAGACGTCAACATCTAGAGGGAAGCACGGCATACAATGAACAGCTAGGATGCAGCCTAACGATCTAGACTTCACGGATGATCTGGCTCCTCTATCACACACACATACAACAAATGAAGGAGAAGATGAACAGTGTAGCAGCGGCCTGACCATCAGTAAGTCTCAACATCCACAAAGCAAGATTCTCCGATACAACACAACATGCCTCAATAGAATTACACTTGACGGAGAAGCTTTGGAGGATATGAAAACCTTTACATATCTGCGTAGCATCATTGATGAACACGGTGGATCAGATGCAGATGTGAAGACGTGAATCCGCAAAGCAAGAGCATCATATTTACAAATGAAGAACATCTAGAACTCAAAACAATTACCAACCAACACCAAGATCAAAATTTTCAATACAAATGTGAAGACAGTTCTACTGTATGGGGCGGAAACTTGAAGAATTACGAAAGCCATCAGCCAGAAGATACAGGTGTTTATTAACAGTTGTCTACACAAAATACTTCCGATCCGTCGGCCAGACAATATCAGCAACAACCTGTTCTGGGATAGAAGGAACAAGATTCCATCCAGTGGAGAAAGAAATCAGGAAGAAGCCCTGGGAGTGGATTGGACGTACATTGAGGAAATCACCTAACTGCATCACGAAGCAAGCCCTCACACAAAATCCTGAAGGAGGAGAGGAAGACGAAAGAACACATTACGCCGAGAAATCGAGACAAATATGAGAAGAATGAACAAGAATCGGATAGAACTGGAAAGTATGTGCGAGGACAGAGTGTGTTTGAGGAATAATTGAGAGTAACTGTGAATCGAATCGCGTGTCTGAAAGAAGATCTGCAAATTGACAGTGAATTATTTCTGGTACCTCAAACTCCTCAAACTTATTGTTATTTCAAATTATATATTAGCAGTCTTTTTTAGATAAATATATACATATTGTAATAGTTCTTAACTGACATTAAGATAATTCATATTTATAACTTGACTACTCATTAGTAACTAAACGTTTTCACTAAAATGTATGGAAACTTGGTTAAACTTATACAGAATCATTAAACTTGAAGTTTTGCTTCTAAATCATTCATTAGGTATGTGTTTAATACTTTCCTACTACTGGTATGGACTGAGTGAAACCTTAGCATAAAGAGAATATATATATTGTCCGTTAGAAGTTCAGCGTGAATGGACAAATGTAGATTATTAATGATAGTTTATTCATTACTATATTTTAATTGATCAGGGTTTTTTTTGGAGAATTTAGTATTTTTCACAGTTGAAATCATGAGTCAATTGAAGCTAGACCACCATCGAAAACCTGGAAGCACTGAACGGCCGTTTCGTCCTATTATGGGACTCCTCAGCAGTGTGCATCCACGATCCCGCACTAGCGAGATTCGAACCCAGGACCTACCAGTCTCGCGCCATAGCACTTAACCACTAGACCACTGAGCTGGCA